GGGGGGGGGGGGGGGGGGGTAAACAACTGGCATGGCACGTCTTCAACACCAGCGTGGCGCCTTACCAGCCCATGCACACACTGTGGCCAGTGTGTTATAGAGGTGGCTACGCACGTGCATGGCCAGCAGCTGCCCAAGTTCAAACCCTGACAGCTGTAGCATCCCGGATCTTGATAATAAATAATTCGAGAGCGGGGCGGGGCGGGGCAAGGCGGTAGGGAAGCGTAGGCACGTGACGCGTGCATGTGCGGCGGCCTTGGCCTTGCGCTTGCGCGCACGCATCATGACACTGCTTGTCTTTTCTCGCCATGTGGCACTCCTTTGCTGTTGCACGTCGCGTCACCTTTTTCCCGCCGTTTTCCACTGGGGACGGCTGAAAAACAGCCAAAAATCCCACTGCCGGGTTTTGTTGTTTTCCCTACTATGCGATGTGGTGGTTGGGGAGCGGGGAACGTTCCCGCTCTGATACCAGTGTGGCGGACCCACCAAGTGTGGTGCTCTGCTTGGGATAGAGATGGTGATGGAGGATGAGAGTGGGGCAAGATGGCACAACGCATCTCCCACACGAGACTCCAACGCACTTACTCCAAACTGTGCGAATGCAAAATGATCCGAAGTACAGACTCTGGCTGGGGTATACCCCAACGGACTGACTAGACTGGACTGGACTAGCTGGTACCGACAGAGGTACCGGCCTGGACTGGACTACCCCTTATACAACACAGGCCTGTGAGAACAGGCCAAGGGTCTGGTCTCACAGGCCAACCAGAGGTCCGTTACACAGTCGGATCGGTGTAATCGGTCTACATAACATAAGCAAAGCTGATTGTGTATGTGTACCCAGTCTGCTATTCGATCAAAGGAATAATCAGACAAGACACTAGGTTCTCATTATCTTTTGTCCACAGTACAGGCCGACCAGAGACGCGAGTCCATGCAACCCCATCCAATCACGGAGACAACGATGAAGTGTGCCTCTAGCTGCCCTGGCCTAGAGCCA